TAAAAGGGGAAGAAAAAAGTAAGAGTGTGTCATCTCTTGCTCCCCACCTGTAGTCACTTCCTGTTGAAAACAGAGTAACTTAAACTTTGTTTTAACAGCAGCTAACCCATTTGGCTTATAATGACTCTGTTACAGCTTTGTACAAGGAACCATGAGGATGCAAAATGGACACTTTTCAATGTGTTAGTGAAGTGTATTGGACAGGAGATTTTATAGACGCATGTCTGCTTTATATGTTTGCATATTAGATACTAATATCCATTTTTATTTATGAAAATGAAAGCAAACAGTAGTGGGATATAGTCTGCTGCTAGGATGGAAAATGATGGAGAGTGTGAAAGAAACATTAGTTTTTGTGGGAATGATGTTGCCTGCTGCCATTCCCAAAATTTGTGCTAACTACAGGATAGACACATAAAGTTATAAGAACAAGACTATTAGAAAGGGAACAAAGTACAGATTTTTTTCAGATACTGTTTCTGGTTGTTCAAGAAGTCGTAAGTTGAGCTGGGAATTGTGGCACATGCCTGTAATGCCAGCATGCAGAAAGCTGAGACAGAAGGATTGATGAGTCTGAGGCCATCCTGGACTATATAGTGAGTTCAAGGCCAGCCTAAATTACACAGCAAGAGCCTGTCTCAAAAAATAAATAAATAAAAAATAATAAGTAAATAAATAAATACATGCCTTGGGTCTCTTTACAGTGGTCAAACAACTGATCTGGGGGAAGAGTCCACAGCCATTGTGATGGCTGTTAATCTACCTATTCAACAGAAAATCAAAAGATTACAATGGACCATGGAATATGGAAGCCAACACAGTGGACGAAAGGAAATGGTTTGGGAACACTACCTAAGGAGAGATTTAGTTGTAGGTGTCACATCATATTACATCTTTGTTGCCTTGAGAAAATGTCTTTAGAAGCACTCCTTTCTCAAAATTGCCATTTCCTGCCAGGCATGTATCATACACCTATAAAGAAAGCATCTATAAAGCACTTAGGAGGCTGAAGCAGGAGGACTGCTGAGAGTTTAAGGCCAGCCTGGACTACATACTGAGTTCAAGGTGTACATAGCTACTACATAGCTACCACGTTCACAGAACATAGTTGTGTTTTCTTGACTTGTGGTAGGGTAGTCAAGACCTCAGAGCTGTTTATTCTATGGGCATTTTTCCAGTCTTCTAAACAAAAGACATGCCTAATTATATACTATTCTATAACCATCCAAAGATAGTACTGACAGTGATACATGTTTAACTTCTGTTTTTTTTAATTCCTGTAAATTATAGAATAACAATAGTCAGATCTTTAGTATGATTTTCACATTTCCCTGAGAGGACCTGGCACAATATTTAAATTTAATTTGTTTGGTATGATTAGTCACTGTTTTTGAAGTTGTGTCTGAATATCTCATACACTTTAGCATTAAAATGTTTTGGTTTCCACTTCTAATAGGTGATTGACATTTAACATAGACTTTTAAATTGTTTTTCAACATATCAAAATCAAACCATAATAGTTTAAGACTATAAAATAAACTATAGGCCAGGGATTTAGCTCAACAGCACAAGTGACTGTTTGGCAAGCATGAGGTCATGAGTTTGATCTCTGGTACCAAAAATAAATAAATAAAATAAAACAAACTATAAAATGTTGATTTTTTGGTTAGCTCAGTGATGTGAGAATATCTTTTCTAACATTATAGTACATGAATGAATACAACTGCCTTTTTAGAGATTTAGTAGTTATGAACTTGAATTATTGCTTATTTATCATACCTAGATATCATTTACTTAATGGAAAAAAATTTCACACTTCTGAATCTTTTTCTCCTGCCTTTACATTAAGAATCTTATTTCCAGGACTGTATTAAATTACATTTATTTTGAAGAAAAAATGGTAATTATCAGTTTTTCTCTTACAAGTTTTCTTTTTGGTGACTTAATATATCTGAAACAGTACAAATCTTATAGAAGAGGGATTTTAAAGCTGGTAGAAATTTTAATTGACTTAGAGTTTTATAAATGAACAAACTACTTTTGACAAATTTATTCTGTCCTTGTTTTGTGAATGGTAAATCATAGATACAGGTTGATTTGGATTAAATGTGCTAACCAAGTAGTTTCAAATTTTGTTATTCAGTTAACTCTACCTTTTAATATTTAAAATGTAATAAAGTTTGAATGAAGATGTTTCCTTTGTTCTGTTAAGAGATTTTGTTTATGAATATTTTTATACTGATAATGGTGTCTTCATTACTTTTCTCTTTGCTGAGACAAAATACCTGACACCCAAAGTTAAAGGAGAAAAGGTTTATTGTTGTAGCTCACAGTTTGTAGAGGTTCCGGTTCATAATCAGCAGGCTCTAAGGCAGGGTGATAGGGCAGAGGGGGATTGCAGAGGAGAAATAGATCATGGCAGGCAGAAGACAGCAAAAGTAGCAAGTGACAAGCAGCAGTCCTCTTTCTGTCTCATATTATCTCATTCAGGCTACCTACCTCAGGGGACTGGTAGCATTACACCACAAATGGTTCAGCCTCAAAACTAACATTACACCATAAATCAATCCTAGCATCTCTTCCTTGATCCCAACACTACACATCCTAATGCCAGCCACCTTCAATAAGCCTGACCTGCATCTGCATGAGACTTTGGGAACCATAACACATGGGAACTTGCTGTCTTATTTTTTCAACCCTTCTGGAAGTCTAACATTATTCCAAAATATTGTTTTTATTATACACAGATTCTGATACTGTAAACCTGGATGGTAGCCTCAGGTTCTGATTTTCTAACAAGTTCCCAACAGAGGTGAAATTCTACTCCGAGCATCAGTGATTCTCAAACTCAGTGGTGCATGAGAATAACCTGCAAAGGATTTAAAAACAGATTGCTGGGCCTTACTCCCAATGTTTCTATTTCACTAACTCCGGAGGGAGGCCCCAAAATTCATATTTTTAACAACCTCCCTGGTGATGTTGATGTTACTGATGGGATAAGAATGGTTCTTATATTTTTAAAGGGTTATAAAAAGTTTACAGAAACAGGAATAGGAAACAGAACCTGGATCTGGCCTTCAAGGACTAAACTATTTAAGAGAAATGGTTAAGCCTTGGACCCCAGTACTCAGAATGAAACTTGTTTTAAAAAATGTTTTTATTAGTACATATCTGCAGTACACATTGATTAGACTCCTTGTGGGGAGTTAGTACATGTACACAACACATTTTAATCCTTTTCACTTTCATGCCTGCTACCCTCCCAATCCTTCCATCTTTTGGTTCTCTTCCCATGTGCAAAATATCTGGTAGAAAAGATTCCAAATGACTGCAGTACTTTTAAGAACTGGATTTGTGTTTTGCATCTTCTCATTCCTTTTTTTTGAGACAGAGTCTTGCTATGTATTCCAGACTGGCCTTGAACTTACTCTGTAACCCAGACTGGCCTCAAACTTGTGGCAATCCTCCTGCCTCAGTCTCCTGAGTGCTAGGAATACAGTTGCTTACCAAGATGGGGTAAAATGGAATTTCAGCATTGTTTTAATTTTAATTTCTTGCCAGTGATATAGCTCAGTGGCACAGTGCCTGCCTACCTGGCAAGCACAAGGTCCTGAGCTCAATTCCCCGTACCAAAAAAAAAAAAAAAGATCAACTTGAATTTTTTTAGTGGCCAGTGATGTTGAACATTTCCTCATGTACTTATATTTTTCCATTTGCATTTCTTCTGAGAAATGTCCATTCATCTCATTTTACCATTTTTTTGATTGGGGAGGTCTAACTTTTTTGAGTTCTTTATATATTCTAAGAACTAGTCATCTAAAGAACAGCTAGCAAAAATTTTTCCCCACTCTGTAGGTTGCCTTTTCTCTATGTTGATGCTTCTTTTGTGGCACAGATGCTTTTTAATTCCATATGATCCTATTTGTTGATTCTTGTTACTATTTCCTCTGTACCCAGGGAACTCAAGGGCTTTTACACTGAGCTACTTCCATAGCCCTTTAATTTTTAAAATTTTCTTTATTTTGAGCCAGGGTCTCACCACATCACTCAGACTGGGCTCAAACTTACAATCTTCCTACTTTATCCTTCCAGAGTTCTGGGACTGCAAGTAGGTAGCACCATGCCTAACTCTGAATGAAACTTAAAAAAATTGGCTAGGGATGTAGCTCAGTGGTAGAGCAGTTGACTAGCGTGTGCAACACTACCATGTGTTGGGGTATAAAGCCCTGGGCTCAATCCTGAGCATCACAAGAACAAACAAACCAAAAAGCTAAAAGATAGTACTATTAGGGCTGGAGATAAAGCTTCGTGGCATAAAGGGCCTGCCTGGCAAGCACAAGGTCCTGAGTTCGATTCCTGATACAAACAAAAACGAAACCAAAAACAAATTACTACCTAGATATTCTCGGCATCAGCACTTAATAAATATTCTTTCTTCACGCTGATGTGCAATCAAGCTTGAGAATTACTGATTTAGACTTTCTGTCTGCCTCAGAAAAAATCTGAACATAAAAACCCCAAACAATCAAAATCAGTATTTCATCTTCTCACTGGTGTCCTCTTGGAAGTAAATATAAAGGAACACAGGATTATACATCAGTAATCACAAAGAATACCACATAAAAAGCAAGCAAACTGCAGAAAGGTCTGAATAGATGGGCTAGGAGAGACAGCAATGGAAGGACAAAGGTGAGATCTTCCCTATGACACAAGAGATGGCAAGGCATAGGGTATTAAGAGGGGCTAAGCAAAGGGAGAAAGGTTGCAGGCTGAGAAATGGTGGTGTTGGATTACTTAAAGAAACGTCACAATACCTTTCACCTTGGCACAACCCCAAAATTTCTTGGTTTCCCATGTGAGCATTATCAACACCACAGGTCTCTATTTGGCCAATTCCACACTCTTACCCTTTGCCTATTTCTCCTGCCAAAGAAGAAAGCTCAGTTAGAGCGTCCTCTGCTTAGGCACCTTCTAGGAAAGGTGTGTGTTTGACCTCTTACCTGTGGTTTCCTCGGCCTGATTGAAGCCACAGATCTGGCAGATACTCTGCACCCACTTATTCATGTCCTCTTCTGTCTCAGCCACCAGGTAAAAGGTTCGCTCGTTGGTCTTAATATCAAACACAAAACTATCCTGCAGCTCCTTCTTGTTGAAGGTCAGGCCTGCATCTACCTGCTCACAGAAGTTCAAGTTGATGATCCTCAGGGGCTTTTTGGAGTGATCATTCTTGTAGTACTCCAGCACATCTGGGTCACCGCTCATTCGGCCACTCCGCAGGATAAACCAGCGTTTCTTCCAGGCCTAAACACACCAGCAAGAAGCAAGGAGATGGGAGAGATGCTATCAGTTATTTCAAAGCTTGTAAGAGAACGTTACATACTGTAGGTTAAAGTGGGGACTGCTAGATCTGCAGATTACTCACAATCTATGTCTCCCTTTCAAATTTCCCACAGTTTCAAAAATGGAGGATGATTTTAGAATGTGAGTTAGTGTAGCATTTCATTATGGAGTCAGGATCTTCCCATAACAAAAGAAAACGTAGCATTCCTACTTTTCAAATCAGGAAATTAGATGAGGCCACTTTAGAGCAACTATTTCTTTCAGACTAGACTATAGATCCAAACTCACGTAGTTTTAAAAAAGTAAAACTTGCGAAACCATAATATATATTTGATTATAGTTGGAGACCCTGCAGAAAAGCATGATGAGTTAAAGAAACAGTGTCACATGGTAAGTAGCAGAAAAATAAATTTCCCAACTTTAATGTGCTTTTCCTAACTTAATGTGCTCATGTTTAGAGAAATTCTTCCAAACGTCTCTGAAGCATATAACTTCATGATTTTTTGTCTTGTTCATCACTGTGCATATATCCCTACAACTTACAATTGTGCCTTGCTCATATTAAGCACTCAATATGTATTATTTAATGGATTCCTTACACCATCCCATGCTACAGAATTTAAGACCTGGTTATGTATTACTTTATGCAATCTTCTACATCCCATTTCTTTTGCAATAGTGAGTAACCTGTGAGCAGATATCACACAAAGTGATAAAAAGATTACACATGATCCAGAATTTTTGGCTGAGTCTACGCTTTACCACTGACTTACTGCATGACTTTTTTTTTTCCCTTGTCTTTTTCCTTTTTATCGGTACCAGGGATCGAACTCACGACTGCCTGCTTGCAAGGCAGGCACTTATGCTGCTGAGCTAAACCCCCAGCCCCTGCATGACTTTTTAAAATTTTTATTTTATTTTAAAAATTTTATTTAAAGAAAGACTACACAAAACAGAAAATGGGTAGAAATAATACATACTTTCAAAGAAAAAATAAACAGAAATCACTAGTTGATGATTACATATTGTCCTCTTACAAATAGTTGTTCAAGATACAAAAGTAAAACATATAAACTGGGGATTCAAACAGCGAGACTGCAAACAGTTCTGTTCAACCATCAACCAAAAACTTCATAATATGGTTATCAATCCTACACACTTAAACATACATGCAGTTATCCACATTTGTTCATTTCATCGTGTGTTAGAAGATCAGTTCTTATAAACTGTTTATAGGTTCTGTGCGTGCATGAGTCTTAACATGTATTTCTATCCTTTCTACATTAGAAACAAAACAAAGCAAGACAAAACAAAACATATTCCCATAAACATATGAAACAAAAAAGACATATAAAACCACTGTACAAGGAGTTCTACCATGGTTACTGTGTTATCTCTTGTTATCTTTAGTAGAATTGATTATATCATCAGATATAGTATAAATGAATATAAACTGTATGACTTTTGATTAAGTCATTTACTTGCTTTTGACTAAGCCATTTTGCTTCATCTATAAAAGAAAATCATCACCACCATCACCACAATCACTACATTACATCACCATATCATTACTCCTGCCTCTTGGAGTTTTAATTATGGAAAGGCACCCACTTTATATAGAACCCTAACTCTTAGCACTTAAAATATCACATTTGTAGACACTTTGTATACACCTTTTGCAATGTAAACTCCATCACTACAGGGATTCTTTTTTTTTTTTTCCTTTTTATTGGTACCGGGGATCGAACTCATGACTGCCTGCTTGCAAGGCAGGCGCTTATGCTGCTGAACTAAATCCCCAGCCCAACTACAGGGATTCTTTATTATCTATTCCATGCTACACAGTGTTTAGAATTGTATCTGGCACAATCAATAAATATACTCATTAATTACATGAATTCCTTACAGCACATAGTGAGTCAAGGGGACCACAACTGTTGCCCTTTAATAAGGATCAAATTTAAATGAAATTTGAGGTATAATCCTACACAATAAATTACAGGAAGATAAAAATAAGTACTATTTATTTGTAAGTACTTAAACTGCTATTCAGGTCACTGGTTTGAGAACTCTGTACATAGTTTCGTGTGTGCATCCTGCACACACTCAGACACTCAGTGTGTGGACAGCAAGGTGCATTTAAAGAAGATACTGTTAGCAGTGCATATGGTGTTTCATTTGATGTAACCCCTCAGAACTTGTCTGTGTGGAAGAAGTCATCCCCAAATTACTGACGTGCAGAGGTACACATACACAAAAAATACATACATAGCCTGCAAAAGATGACAATGATGCTTGTTACATATAACTCCAGAACCTTCAGGTTCTGCTCCCAAGTAAGTGGTGCAGGTAGATAAGCAGCTGCTGACAAAATAATAAATTTATGGCAGAGAAGGCAAGGCTGTTGTGTTGAGTCTCTCTTTTGTGATGTGTTCACTTTCCTCTTTTGTCACAACTCCTTTCCAATTTCACACTTAAAAAACAGACAATTCAGAATCAAGTGTAAATAACTCCAAAGTGTCTCATCAATGATGCCTTTTCCCCTTGTCTCTTCATTTGATCTCCACTTCTCCAGACATTCATAACATTTTAATACACTTTTCACTGCATCACTTTCATAATCCATTACAGGTATTTCGGTAGTTGATTCTGAATAGACTTTCTAATAATCTTTACTATTTAAAGATTATCACTGAACTGCTCTTACCTTATTGCTCTCATTTATGTCTCCTCCTTCCTTTTCTGTCTTTCCTATTTCCCTGCATCCTTACAACTATTCAACCAACAAATACTTATTTAGTGGTTACTACGATCAGGAGCAGCAGTGGTGAACCTATGGCATGTGTGCCACAATGGGCTATTTTGTTATCACTGAAAGTTCTAAAAGGTTCAGCACCACTGCTCCAGAGATTATTCTAGATGGATATAATATAAATTTCTGGTGTCACAGAACTTCAAGGTACAAAACAAATTCAAATTACTTATTATTCTCTAAATGTATTGGATAATTTTATGACTGTATATTTCTGCACAACCTGTTGAATCTTCCTAGAGTGTCTTTCACCTTACCTCACCCATCTGGAGAACTGCTATGCCTCTGTTCCAGCTCAAATGTCACTTCTGACAGGGCTTCACTAACTCCTTCAGGTAGAGCTGGTGCTCCTTGGTTCCTTTAATAATTTAAGACTTTTGTCTATTTGGCCATTTCTTCTAAATTTGACATTTCAACTGTTTATATGTTTTTCTGTCCTTTAAGCCCTTACATCTTAAGGTCTGGCTCCTGTGTGGCCAACTTGGCAGTTTGCTTAATAAGCATGGAACTCAGTAAAGATCTGTTGGGAATTTTAAAATTCAATGAATATGTTAATTAATTCAAACAAGTAACTGCAATTTAAAAAATACAACTGATCTTTCACAGTAGGAAGTATGAAATGAGGACAGAAAGAAGACTACACAAACAAAATAAGGGGTATGAATTGGATTCTCTGTAATGTGAGTTCTTTAGCATCTGTTCCCTTCATTCTGATAAGTAGAGTGACTACATAATAAATATTTATAAAGGTGTCTGGGAGCCTTAGCTGACACAGAAATAAAGAATTACTTTTGAATTACTAACATATAATGCAACAAGATCTCACTTTATATTGCAGGCTGGCCTTGCACTCACTAGTAGCACAGGCTAGCCTCGAACTCATGACAATTTTTCTGCCTCAGCCACCCAAGCACTAGGATACAGGCATTTGCCACTAGGAAATGTGAATCTTGAACATGCTGCTAAAGGAAAACTTTTTTCAGATCTGCTCTATTTATATAAAAATTTCATACAAAAATTAACTCAGAATGAATTATGGACTTAAATATACACCACAAATGGAATTCAGAAACCTATAACACTATGTAACTAAGTGAGTTTTATTCCCTAGAGATAAAGGTAATTCAAATTTGAATTCCATCAATATAATGGAGGGAAATATTTTCAACTTGATAAAGAACACAGAAGACCAGTGTCCAATGTTAACTTAGTTTTGAAAGATTAAATGCTTTCCTCCTAAAACCAGGAACAAGGCAAGGATGTCCATACCTACCACTCTTACCTAACACAGTGCTGGAAGTTCTAGTCAGGCAATAAAAATATAAAATGATACTGATGAAAAGAAGAAAAAAATGCCCCGAATTTTCAGATTTTTGTCAACACAGAAAATTCTAAGAAATCTACAAAAAACAAAAACACATCTCTTGAAACTCCAAGGTCTCAGGATGCTATATAAAAATATAAAAATCAGTTTACTTGTATGGCGTAGCAATGAACACGTGGGTATTTAAAATAAACGACTGTTTGGTCTGAAAGTGTAGCTCAGTGGTAGAAGACCTGCCTAGGATACTCAAGTCCTGGGTTCTATCTCCAGCATCACAAAAAAATCAAACAAAAGAATTAAAGAAAAACGTGCATTTTGAAAATGAAAAAAGTGTAAATTTAATAAAACACATGCAGAGCACGTGTGCCAAAAACCATACAATACTAATGAAAGAAATCAAACAAGAGCTAAAGAAACATACCATGTTCATGGACTAGAAGATTCAACATGGCAGTCATTATATCCTGAAATTTGTATGGAAAGCAAAGAAAGCACAATGGCTAAGAAAATTTTGAATAATAAAATGAGAGGAATTAATGTACCATATTTTAAAACTTGTTACATGTGATAGTAATCACAATCATGTGGTATTTGTAGAGAGATGTACAGATACATAGACCAGATTAGAACAGAGAAGGCAGAATTAGACCCATATTATACGCCAAATTAATTTTGGCAAAAGTGAAAAAATGATTCAATAAAGAAAAAAACAGCCTTTTCAACAAATGATTCTGAAGCAATTGTGTGTCTCTGAAGGGAAAAGTAGCAGCTGATCTTAATCTCACCCTTTTGCACCTTACGGAAAAATTAAATCCAAATGAACCA